GGAGAAATGTCTTTTAAAAAGACTTCTGAAGATACCTGGAATTCAGTGATTACTAAGGACTTCAACTTAATAATTTTTGCATCCTTTTTGGTCAGCATTTCTTTCCTGCTAGTGAAGTCCCGCTAGTGGGGTCAGAGGACTTAAATTACACATTGTTACATCATCCTAAAGGCTCCCTTTCTGAATATGTGTTGCCTACAAGAAAGGATGGGCTTTATTGCAAGTGTAGAAATACGTCAGAAACAAAATTGTTAATGCAGATTAAAAAGTGAGTTCCATTGTAAGGAAGATGTCACCAAACAGTCTTATCTGCAGCTTCTTTTTATCAGTAGCAAGTGTTCTCACACAGACCCTAGTAGTTGCCTTAACAATTTGACAAAGGAGGAGATCTGGTTCTTCCAATATCAATTTATCAGCAACATCAGATCTTTCTAAGCAAACAAACAAAAAAATCCTTCTCTTGCTGAATGTGAACTGTTTTGGTAAGGGTACCTTTAGAAAGAATTCTCTACATAAACATTGTCCAGAGTATCTTGTTTCAAAAATCTGTCAAAGACACATGTTGTTTTTAGAAGCATTTGATTGTTTGTGCTACTATGTCACACTTGGCTCAATATCAGCCCTCTGTGTTTTAAGTAGCTTTGGCTTTTCTGTGCTCTTTTTGCACTCCTTATAGAGTACATTCCGTAATCAAATTTCTGATGTTAAAAGAACGTGTAGTAGTTGTAAAAGTGCCAGAATGGGAATTTTGCTGTAGGTGGCTCGAGATCTGGAAGAAAAAGAAAGCCTTCTTAATTTCATATTCCAGAAACAGCATCATTCCAGAGTTTACTTTCCAAATCAGTTATTAGTGCCAGCTACTCTTGAGTGCATATTTATGTTGCAGATAAACTCTTCAGATTCTGTATTGCCCAATTCTTTGGCCAACTCTTCTTTGTCAACTCATATTTAACACATGTGATTATTTTATTTTTTGTACCTGATTTGATTGAAGCAGAGCTATGCATCTTTGTCAAACAAAATCTTTGTAATCCATATTTCTGTATTAATTCCAAAGGCATTCTATCTATTTTGTGGATAGGATGACAAAAATTATTACTAAATCATTTCAATATGAGGTTGTTTAGGATGAAAGACAGTTGTCTAAACCTTAGCTCTGGGAAATCAAGCAGCTCTAATTGTCCATCTAACAGTTAGGAATTAAAATAGTATTGCAGAAAATGGTTAGCAAATAATTAGAGTAGAAGGCACTACTTTCTTATTGCAGAGCTCTGGAATAGCAAAAGTACTTCTGATATGCAGCTTTGCATGTGGTTACCTAGACTAGTCTTCAGTAATAGCTTTTATCTGTATTAAAGATTCTCCAAATATGTAAGGGTTTTTTCTCGGCTTTAATCTCAGTATAAGTGCAGAAAACTGCAAAAAGACCTCAAAGTGTGGTTTAACATACTCCATAAACTTTAGTTATGTCTAGCATGGGGACTTAGATATTCTCACCTTTCTTTATTTGCATTGCTTATCAGAACTCCTCTGTAAATCACTTTAAGTAGTTTGAGTCTGTCTGAAAGTCAGTGTATTGACTGTGAAAAACAGTTTGTGTTCTTTTTAAGCCTTCATTAGTAGCTCAATGTGTGAGCATGAGTCTCCCTCTTTAGCCATCATCTGTTTCAACTGCGATTGATCTTTAAATGGCTGACTGCAAATGCTTGTTCTCTGCCTCTGCAGTAGGCATGCTTTGGCACCAAACGGCAAGGTGCACTTGCCGAAAATGAAAATAATGTGTCTTGCTGTATCCTCTCTCCGTTTCCATCTGCTGTCCATTTACTCCACAGCTGGCCATATTAGCCGGATTATGATATGAGCTGCTCTGTGCTTATTAAAGTCCTCGACAATCCTGATCCTGCATGGACTTGTGGCAGCAATGAATCGTCCCCAAAATGAGTTGTCTTCACTTGATGTTGCATAGCTTACACCAGTAGAAGTGATTTTTAGCCTATTTTTACATATAATTTGCAAAGTGGTTTAAGAGTTTTAAATGTGGTAGGTCTTTTATGTCTCTCTACAATGGAGTTTGCTAATAGAACTTTTAAGAAAGATGTTTTAAAGTGATATGTCTGTGAAGGTTCACAAAGGATTGCCCAGAACTTGCATAGGCTGTATTAAGCAGCAGTTCCAATAATGAAGTAATTTCTTCAGCAGCAAAGCTAGTGATAAAGAATCCTTTTCTCTTGTACCTGCTTGTTCTTGCTCCCTGTTATGCCACATGAATATTTATAAGGCAACACTGTTGGATCAAAGAGGAGAAGGGGAGTCAAAATTTCTTCTCTTGTGATTGAGACATGTAAGAAAAGTGAATCCTCTGTAACAGCCACCTAGTCTCTCAAAATTTCTGCTAATATTACTGAAGTTATTCAAAGGTTTTTGAGTTTACCATCTTGATACTGTAAGAGATCCTAGCTGCTTAGTCCCCTACTATGTTGTTCCTACATATTGTCAGCATGTTGTTTGTGTGGCTGTCCAACAGGTTGGACAAAAAGACTGCTGAAAAATTTGCCTCTGATTTTGGTTTGCTGAGATATGTTTTACCCAGTCAGTACCCAGATTGTGTTGAACTGCACAGGCAGATGTGTCAGCATGGAGTGGCACAGCACAGTGATAAAGGGAGGACAGAAAATTTTTCGCTAGTAATGCTGTCTCAGAGTAATTACCATCCTTTCAGGCTATGGATTTAAAATTCCCAGTAAGAAGAAAAGAAATCAGGAAATGTACTATTTTGTGGAGGTTAAATCCAACCCAAATAGAGGAAAAAGAAACATAAAACACATATAATAGTGAACCGAGTGCCGTGGTGGTGTTATGTGAATTCTGTGGGGTTTTAGTGTGTGATGGAAGTTTATTTCATGCATTTATTCAAAGTGTATGCAATTGCATATTAAAATAGTGGGTTTGTAATGATGTGGTGGATGTGTTTCAGGCTGCTTCTCATTGTATTCAGACCTATTAGAATGTCACTAGCTTTATGTATGCATTTAGAACTAAAGTACTTCAAACAGGATAGGCCTTGAGTTCTACAGTTTAGCCGTAGAGACCTTATCAGTACAAGAAATGAACGAGCATAAACACAATGTTTTCACAATTTTAGGAGAATTTTTAAGTGTCTAATTTTCAGATAATTTCAAAATGTTCTTTCTTATTGTTTTCCTAGTATTGAAGTACTTTCCTGAAAGAATGCTTCAGTTTAAATAATGTCAGCCTCTGATGACTTGGAAACAGACGTGTATAATACACTGCTCAGCTTCAAGGTCTTTGTGGGTTTGCATCAGTTAACAAAATTGCTGAGGGCCTGTATGGTTGCAATAGGAAAAGCTAATCTTTATCATTGCAATCAGATGTTCTCTGTTGCAGTCGAATGTCTTCTGGAAAACAGATTTATGGTGGCTGAAGGGTATTTAAACAACTGCAGTTTATAAAAAACTTTCAAGTTCAAAATTCTTCATTTTAACAATCTTTTTTGTTTGTTTGTTTCTAACATTTGAAATAAATTAACAACTTCCATAAAAATTACTTTAATGGATTCATTGGAACATCAATGAATGGGGATATGAGAAGACAAAAGTAATTGATATTTGGGTTTTTTACTCTACTTAGGAGGCTTGAATTGTTTACTTAAATGCAAGTATTTTATTTATTAACAAAAAGCAAGCAAACAAAAACCCAGCTAAACCCCTACTCATTTGGCTCACATTCACATGACTTGCAGTACTTTCTGAGTTAACACTCATCCTCTATTTACAAAACTCACAACGCAGGTTATTAATTATTTTAGATTTGGTTCTAAAAGTGTTATTTAATTCCAGCAGTAATAGCTTTTTCCATCAGAGTTCAATTTGCATTATATGCTTTCAGTGTTAAGAAAGGATTAACTCTTCTTAATATTAAGTGAGAAGTGCCAAGAGCAGACCTAACTGAAACCATGCTGGTTTTAAGTGATGCAAATAATCAGTTTCAATGATTATACATGAGCCTGTGCTTTTGCAGAGAGGCTGCCTTGGTTTTATTCAATTTTGTTTGCGTTTCAAATTGGCTTTGGGAGGGGTTTGGTTTAGTTTTTTGATTTATTTTTTTTTCCTGTTGTTTGGGGGGGGGGGGGGGGGTTTTGGTCTGTCTTGATCACCAGACTTGTGGTGAACACACAGAATTAGAATTTCTTATGCTGTGTATTATGCAAATTTCAATTTAAAAACAGTGTTTGTTATCTCATGAGATTCTGGACACTCTTCTCAATGGCGTTGTATGCAAGATTAGTGATGCACCCTACTTACTTTTTTTAAGTCCATGCTTTCTTCCTGCCCTTCCAAGAAGAGTTTTAAATTACAAGTGAAGTATCTGTAATTTTTCTCCCCTGATTCTTGATCATAGTCCAACGTTCAGATCATCTTCACTCATATGCAAAATGTTTTGCTGGGATTTGATTTTTTGACTCTGTCACTTGGAATACTTCAAGAATGTTTTTTTAAACAGCACTTTGCTGTGGTGCTGTGGTTGTAGCTGTTTCAGGTGATGAATATGACTGAAACACAACACCATAGAGTGTGCAGACAGTTCGGGTCGAGAATTTGACCATTTAACTTGCCAGTTATTTTCATAGAACTTGATTCTGCTAAGCTGTTTAAATTCAATACAGGATGTTCCACTTCAGTCACTTTTTTAAACTTTCAGTAAAACAACATTTTTGGGAGATGTTAATGATACTTTGTAATCCAAACAGCTTTCATGATAAGACAAGCTGTTCATTCTCTCTGCTTTTATTATTTCCTGATTCATGCATTTCTTTTAAAGACCTGGTATCATCTTATAGCTTTGTTAAACTGCCCTTTCGTTCCCTCAGGGGAGCTGATTTGCTTCAGAGTATTTGACTGTTAAAGAAAATCATGCTAACTTAACTTATTCGTTGTAACATTTCTGAAAAGTTAAACCACATTGCCTCTGTCTCTTTTCAGAGAATGGACCTTGGAGAATGCCTGAAGGTGCATGACCTGGCATTAAGGGCAGACTATGAAATAGCATCTAAAGATCAAGATTTCTTCTTTGAGCTTGATGTATGTATTTTGTCTTAATGCTGGAGAGAGAGTATAGTTTGTATACCAAGGTCGATACACTGAGCAATAGATGTTAAGTTTTGGTACACACAGAAGGATCTTATAAACAGAGAAACCCTTGGCAAAGATACATGCCTCTTCATGAATATATGCAAGTATTTAATTTGTATTGTCACTCTCTAGGTAGAACTGTTAACAGCCTCCCACAGAACAAAATATCATAAATGTGGGTGCTGTCTTAGTGTTATCACATAGCAGGCAAATATTAAGGCTGTGTATGCTTTGAAGAGAGTTTTAAATTCTATATTTAATGAAGAAAGTAGTTCTGTATTGATAACAAATCATATACTGTCTCCATACACTATAGTTTGAGTTTTGAACTCCCAACTAGGAAGGTAGTTTTCACTAGGACAAAAAGGTTTGGTTTTTTAATTGCTATTTGGAGGGATGATGTTAATATGTTTAATAGCTTAAAACCCTAGTGAAAAAAGTTACAGTATTGCATGTAATGGCTGGATGAAGTGATCCTGAATATCCTTTGAAGAATTTTAATGCCTGCTAGAAATACTCACTTCTTGTCAGAGAAGACTTAAGGTAGATTCACTTCCAAATTTCTGCAAATACTTAGAACCATGACAATGTGTAGGCTATAATTTTTGAAAAGTTGTGTGTTAATATATGTGTTTACAGTATGTGTCACCATGAACTGATAGACTATCATTTTACAAAGTTTCACTAATAAAAACTTAAGAAAGTTAAGTCTTGATAAACTTGGGAAGCATTACAGCTAATGAAATATCCATGTTCTTGACAGCATTGACCCGTGTTCTTATTGATGTTTTAGGCAATGGACCATCTGCAGTCGTTTATTGCAGACTGTGACAGGCGAACAGAAGTGGCTAAGAAAAGACTAGCAGAAACCCAAGAAGAGATCAGTGCTGAAGTTGCAGCTAAAGTAAGCATGGAAAACTAGTAACTGAAGTCTCTTTGAAGGTCTGTTTTTCCAAAGAGCCAACTTCAAGTTTTGGCAAGATATTGAATCTCAGAATTCATACTGAGGAGAGGGAAAAAATAACACATTTTCTTTATTCTTCCCAAAACTGCCCTTAAGGCACAGGAAGGAGAACAGGGAAGAGACCTCTGATATTTTTGACCTCGGGAAACTTGACACTGTGATTCCATGCCATACAAATGTTAGTAATTCTTACACTTTTTGATCAAAACTTCACCCATAAATTAAACCAAAATTGATGTGCTTTTCTCTAGATCTTCGAATGAAAAAAAAAAACTTCTACAATTTTTGTGCACATATATACACAAACTAGGAGGAATGATTATACAAATACTAATTTTGCAAGACTGTGTGGTATGGACAACAGTGTGAATTACTTGAATTTTCTAAACAAAATCCTTCTCTGGAGTTGGTACATAGATCTGGTAACTCAGCCTTTCTCTGCGTGTTTTTCAGTGAGGCATTTTCTATTTCACTCTTAACACCTGGAGAAGCACTCTCTGCATGTTTCTTTTCTGTCCTACCAATTTTGCACACAGTAGTAGTTCAGATTGTTTTCCATAAGTAAAAGCATTTCCTGTGTTAAGGCTTTCCTTGTCTTTCAAGGCTGAAAGAGTCCATGAATTGAATGAAGAAATTGGGAAGCTGTTAGCCAAAGTAGAACAGCTCGGAGCTGATGGAAATGTGGAAGAATCTCAGAAAGTAATGGATGAAGTGGAGAAAGCTCGGGTGAAGAAGAGAGAAGCAGAAGTAAGTTGAATTGTGTAAGGCTTGGGGGATGGAGTGGGCAGGGTCAAGTATTAAATTGGTTGGCCTTTGTGTAAATTGGTTGACCTCCATGTAATGCAAGACGTCTTATCTGCTCTCACTTCCTTAGCTAATTGCATCATATAAAACTAAAGAAATTGCTTTGCAGCATCCTGTACGGACAAAGTTTGTACCCTTAAATACACTCATATACAATGAAAATTATACTCCCTTCCACAAATAATGCATTCACCTTAGCTTAGCTGTATTGGTCAGTTGTGTCTATGGACACTACCATTGTGTCTGTGTTTGTTGGACTGACTTGCCTGGTTTGCTCTCTGTGGCGTGTTGATGTAACTTGTACTGGAAAGCTTCAGTGAAGTGAACCATTGTCTTCTCTGAAAGATACTTATTTAATGTCTTGTGTATCAGTCCAGTCAAAATGGTCCTTGTAATGTTCAGGTGGCAGAATGCACCAAGAGCTTTTCATATTGTGTTGCTCCAAGATATAGGGATTTACAGAAACAAACATCTGCAGTGGTTTTAATAGTACCAGAAGGGTTGCTGGCAGTCTTGCTGGTCTGTCATCTGAGTGTCTGTAGATAAATTTTGTTCAGATAGTGTGTTTAATTAGTGTCTAAAATGCAGATGGGTTTCTCAGGAAACTAACACTGTTTTAAATTGCGCTCAGAATTAAAACTGGTGTAATATTTTCATAATATGTCAACATAGTAATTGTAGTGTTAATGTGTATTCATTGTTGGATATGAAAATATTGTCCAGCTTTCTGTGCAATATAGTCTTACATAAAGGTAATAATTACCCCACTTTTTTTAATTCACAAATCCACAAAACCATTTGCTAATGTCCTGCTTTTAAATATGTTCAATTTTCAAAATAAGGAAATATGGCTTGTATCTTAATGAAACAGTTGATTTATGAATAGTGTGAATTAACTGAAGGGTGTGCTGGTGTACACTGAATTTGGTTATTAAGTTGTAACATATGCTTGGTAAAGTGTTATCCTTGTATTTATGTGCACTGAGAAGTAACAGCAAATTTTTTTTCTAGGAAGTGTACAGGAATTCTATGCCTGCCTCCAGCTTTCAGCAGCAGAAGCTACGGGTTTGTGAAGTGTGCTCAGCTTACCTTGGTCTTCATGACAATGACCGACGACTTGCTGATCATTTTGGAGGAAAACTACATTTGGGATTTATTGAAATAAGAGAGAAGCTTGAGGAACTCAGGGTAAATCATTCCTATATTTTGTGTGTGTGGTCCTACTTAATTATTTGACAGGCAGCCTTAATTGGATATTTCCTTCTGGATGTGTGGGATTTTTTCATGTCACTTTAAAATTTGAGATTTCATTAGCCTAAAAACCACTAAAGATTTTAATTTAACATCTCAATTACCCAGATAGTTTACTACGATGACCTCTTTTGTACTGAGGTATATTAAAACACACATGCAGAGTAATGCATCTTGGGAACAAAGAGTGTGATTCTACTTGTAAATTGATTAACTGTATTTTGAACGAACAGCAGCAATGTTAAAATATATTTAGCAGTCATAGGAGATAGCCAGATGAACTTTGCTTTTAGCCAGATGATTGACTAAAAATAGTAATGAGACTTAAAAATACAAGAGCATGGATTAAGGAGGATGATAACACTTGGAAAAGTTTTCAGAAAAATGTAAAGAAATGCTTGGAGCTCAGACAGCCTGCTGTATGGTGAATGACTAAAACTCACTTTGTTTATTTTATCTGGACAAAGATTAGGAGGTGACTTTAAATTTTCTTCTAAGTAATTTTTCAAGGCTTTTAAGCTTAAGTGACAATAGATGAAATAAACAGCTTCCAACAACTCAAGGCTGTAGCTATGCAAAGTGGAAATACAGAATGATGGATATCCTGCAGTCAGGCTAGCTGTTAAAATAATTGTTATGGGGAGGTTGCCTGTTCTTTATAGCTTGAAAATTTGAAATCCAGTTGGAATATTATCCTAAACAACCCTATCTTGACCAGAAATCATGTGCTGGAAGAAAGACTTACTGGAATTGTATTCTGGTCTTCTGGTATTCTAGAGAATGGATTTGGACACTGATGCCATTTATGACCTTAATATAGAAATTATGGAGTTCCCAGCTTAATTAAGCATTTTAGCTGTAGAAATCACTGAAGACAATAGCTAAAGGACTTGAAGCCCTAACAGCAGAAAATGCTGCTAGTGGGTTTGAGTAAATTGACTTGTATTATGTTTCATAATATTCCAGCTGTCTTGCATGGATAATGACTTACTCTTTGGAGAGCCCAACTCTTTCTGTTGACTGTATAGGCAATTTAGGCTCCTAATATAGCTGGTGTAACTTAGATGCCTAGAATAGATCACGTGTGCTTCCTCTCATCCCTCCATGAAATTATGCACAGAGTCACTTGAATGAGAAGCCTAGCTTGTAGATAAATTAGTGATGTTGTACAAGGAAGTATAGATATAATTTGATACAGGGGTTGAATTGACTGATTATTTACACCATTCGGAAAAAAACTATGCATGGATAACTTATTTCACATTCCCAAAGCATCAAAAAATAATCTTTTGAAGTGCTTCGTTAACAAAAGAAGAAAACAATAACTATCCCCTCCTTCCTCAGAGCTCTCCTCAGAGATCTAATCAAGATGCTGCTGGGGCAATTCCACCTCTCAGAAGAAGGTCTTTACAAAGAGTTGAATTTCTTGCATCATGTCCAGAAGGTGGCAAGACTTGGGTTTGGCCAGATCTCCAGTTGTGAGTTCCACATCTGAGGGCCCTCTACTGAGCGTGCCTTGTCCCCAGTAGTAGTGAGTTCAACCTGGGGGCTAACAGCTGAAGCATCTGCTCTAATTATGTCTCATGGTCACAATACAGAAACAAGTAGCCTCAAAACCTAGGTATCAGCCCAACCAAGTCCTTTAAGAAACAATTAACTCTCCCGGTTCTGTATTCTTTCTACCTTTTCCCAGTGGCCAAAATATGATAGGATTGGCATGGAAACTCTCACATTAAAGGCATGACTTGCTGCTCTGAATTCCCCTTTATTAAAAACTTAATGTTTAACTCTGCATATTTCAGGTCTTCGTGTAACACCCATCTATTTGCTGCAGCTCTTCTGCAATAACTTCTGTTTCTTGAAGAAAAAAAATACATATATACTGAGGAAGAGAGAGGGAATAATATACACAAGAGAAAGGGAATATACCTGAGAAAAAGAACTGAATGTTAATGTCTAGATCATTTTTATAGCACTTTCATCTGAGAAATTCTGAAGTATAACTTAATGAATATGTTCATTTGCTTTTAGAGGATTGTGGCTGATAAACAGGAGAAACGAAATCAGGAACGTCTGAAACGTAGAGAGGAGAGAGAAAGAGAAGAAAGGGAGAAACTAAGGAGGTAGGGAGCTATTTTAATTGCATGTACATAATGACCTATTTAAGTTTAATGAGAAACCTATGATGTAGTTCATAAACATTTCTAAATCTGCAGAATTACAATACTTTGCATTCTTTGAAAACTTACAAGGATTGAGATGGAATTTCATGTCTAACTGTTAAAACTTGGAATTGTTTCCATAAAAAGCCTTTTTAAAAACTACTGATAGTAGTACATCTACATATTGGAACAAATGGCCTTTAAATGAGATAATTTTCAGGTGTGTACCTTGTTTTGAGACCTGATAAATGTGAGCTTATACACATGTGATTTTCTAACATCTGATAGCTATTTTCTTCATATATGTTAGAAAATTTCCTTATTGGAAGTATTTGAATGTATGACTAAGGAAAGTAATTCCCTGTTCTTCTGTGAAATAGTAGCTCCCAGGCCTTGTGGGGCTAGAGAGGAATGGAATCTGAACTGCAGTTCTCTCAACATGTTAGCTTCAGAGGCTAACAGTGTAAACTTTTGAAATCTGTTGCAGTCTGATAATACTTGCCTGTCAGGAAATAAGGGAATACTGGCTTGAACTGTAAGCTTTTTCTATAGGAGGGATGGGAGTTAAAAAGCAAAGTTGACATTCTTTTGGGTTTCTAGTATGGTAATCTCAAAACTGAATTAAGGGGGGGGGGGGAAAAAAAACCAAAACCCACAAGCACAAACCAGGGATATGTTTCCTGGTAAACATGTAGCAGTAAAGATGTTAATATTAAATAAAAGGCCTTTAAACAATTGCTACTAAAACAAGAAATACAATTACAGGTCAACTAGTCTAGTTTATTATTACTAAATTGCACCTTATATAATAATAAGATTCTATAAGAAAAATTACTGTTTTCCTTTTATTTCAGGTCCAGATCCCACAGCAAGCATGCCAAAAGGTATATAAATCTGCAGACAAGGAATACTAGCGGTGAAGCCAGCCTTTCACAAGCTGGAACATTATACGTTTGTGTAGCACTATTAGTTTAAGATGTCCATTTTTATGAACAAAGCTTTCTGTTACATAGTCATCTCTCTGTGATTTTATACCATGCTACTGAGTTTATACAGGTACATTTATTTTATGGGTCCTGCAATGCAGCCTTGTGTCCCAAATAACACTTAAAACACAGATAACTGCTTTTTCTTTACAAAAGTTTGTGGTCAATACCTTTTTGTGAACCCCCATGTTTTTAAAATCCTAAGCACCAGGTTAACACTTAATAGATCATCCATCAATAGTATGAGTGTTCTTCCAAACCTACACTGTTTGGAAGTGAGGTATGACTGCAAAGTGATTTAAAAAAAAAAAAAAAAAGAAGGAAAGAATAGACTGAATTTTTATGGTGTTTAGAACCTTGCAGGCTAGTTTTGTTATTGTAGCTATGGGGAACAGTATAGTCCAGTTTCTTCAGAACATCATAATACAAAGATTCTGGCAGATAACCCGTATCACTGCATCAGGGAGTTCTACAACTTTACCTAATAAAGACAAGATTTTAAAATTTTAAAAAGTAGATTTTTTTTCCATATTTTTAATTGCTTTCAGAGGCTTGAACTGGCTATGCTGTAGCCAAACAGTCATGAGTTGATTTTAAAACTGTCTGCATTGGTCACAAAGCAGTTTGTAGCCTTTCTATTGTTGCTTTCCCCTGTTTGCCTGTGATCAGACAATGCAGTAGCTCTGAACGCTGCAGACCATTCTGTGTGCAGATTTGCTTATGCACAGAGTGCATGATATTCACAGTACACTGGTAAGAGTACCTGGGTGAATGCAGTGTCTGGTTTAAGTGCTTTCTGTTCCTAGATCTAGGTCCCGAGATCGCCGCAGACACCGCTCTCGCTCAGCCTCACGGGAACGAAAGAGAAGAACTCGATCCAAATCCCGTGAGAAACGCCATCGTCACAGGTCTCGCTCCACCAGCCGCAGCCGGAGTCGCAGCCATCATAGAAGCAGGCATAGTTCCAGGGACAGAAGCCGAGAACGCAGCTCCAAAAAGAGGTAAGTGTTGCCCTAGAAATAAATGGCTTTTCCTAGAGGCGTGATGAGAATTCTCACACTAAATTAAGTTTACAGCTACCGCTTGGCAATTTAAACACGTTTTGACTCTGTCTCAGGTTTCAGTTACAACTTTAGCGTAATTATGGTTTGACATACCAGAGTGACTTTTTTCTATTTATTTTTTATAAAAATAATAGCGTTACATTATTTCAGTTTTGGATGAGTGCTACAGAGTACTGGCGTCAAGTTGATAATACAGGCTTCCTGCAGCGTAGAAAAACAGCTCATTTTCATTTGACCCCAGGGATATCAGCAGTCATCTTACTGTCATACATTTGTTTTTTCCCTCGGGCTCTTGTTCTCAGCACCAGAGCCCATCTGTTGTGTACTGCACCATATACAAACAAGTTTAGGTATGCCTGAAAATAAACTTGTTGCACTACATCTGAACGTGTTGCTCTGCAAGGAAAGTCACTGAACCCCTCATTAAAGGGTAACTGCAGAGGGCAAGATGGGGCTATTGCTTTTGAATGATTCGATTGCTGTCTGCCCCCGAGGATTTGCTGGCTTCTTTTAGATGAGTTAAGCATAACTTAGAATGGGATTGCACAACGAGGCATTTGACAGGGAGGCCTGCTCATAAAAAGGATTCTTTTCTTTTATAGGTCAACCACCATGGTGTACATTTGAGTGCAGTACAGTGTCAGGGTGCTCAGTCTTAAAGCCCTGACAGACTGTTGACTTGTAAGAAGGTAAAAGGTCTGGTTTTGAAGTGGCCACACGTGCAGGGTTTATCATTCAATTATTTTAGGAGTTAAATCACCGAGGATGGAGAAATACATTGAACATGTTCTAGGATCTCATGGGCTCTTTGCTCAAAAAGTGAGCTTTTTTCTTCATAGAGTAGGTAGGTGACTGTAATCCCATTGTGCTCTGTAAGAGAGCATAGAAGACAGGGTTAGTCCAAGTCTTTTCTTTCTTTTTGTTGCAGATGGATAAAAGTTATAAGTGCAGCACTCTACTTGATATCAGCAGTAGTGTCTGGTATTTAAAATACTTCAGTTTTCTAAAGTCATTGTTTCAGACAGCAGTTTCCATCTCCGAAGAGCGTGCCCCTTCATGGCATTCACAGCAGCAGATTAGCAAATCTTCAAACCTGTAGTTTTTAGCTTTATAACAGGCTTTTCCTTTGGATCGATGTATTTGTTAATTTGGATAAACCAATTTGTAGAGTATGTGCTCAGACTGCCTTTACTACTTCAACTTCTCCATCTTTGCAAGACTTGATTTCCATCCTTCAAAGAAAACTGTTCTGGCTGATCGTACTTGTTCAGACTCTCCAGTATGATTAGCACAGTGCTAATGATGCAGAGAGATATGTAAGAACAGGGAAATGGTATAGACCCCTGGTACTATCCATGTAACAGTAAGCATGTTAAAAGTAAAAAAATGTAATGTACCTCAGGGAGCAAATTTCAACCTTATGATATTCAGTACTGGAGATATTTCTCCTGATGTCAGTTTCTGCCCTGAAGGAATATTAATAGTGCCAGCCAAGAACTGTGCACCTGACTACAGATAGTACAAACATTTAGTGCAGAGTATTCCTGCTTTCAGCGAACCACACAGTTCCTTCTGGTTTATCCTGTCCACCCTTTATAAGAAAGTATTTTCTGAAGAGCCTCTCACATTTAAATGAAAAAGTGTCACCTCTCAGGTACTTCTTAATTCTGAAAGCAAAGGGATGTTTTATTGTGTGCTATAGCTGAGGAAATGCTACAAACACATACATTTGTCTGACAGATACATTTTTTTTATTCCGTATCACTACCATTCACCTATGAAACTGGTGGATAGATTTAAATCTATTAATGTCTGGGATCTCATTTCAGATTTATCAGTATAAGGACCAGATCTCCACACTCTATGTATGTTCAACTGAACATACACAAAGTGTCAGGCAATAGTAGCAGTGTGTCTTAGATAATGAGAACCTATCTGGTAATAGTAGCAACCTGCCTAAGGTAATAGGAATTCTAGGTCTACTCAGGCTTGGATTACTGGCTTACTAAGAACAGATCTAAATGAAGTCCTACTTTTTCTTGCTGTTAGTCATAAGTTTCAAATAAATAAAATTGTCTTTCGTTTAATTAGAAACAAACTATGTAGTTGGTGCATTTTGCTTTCCAACGAGAAAGTGAGTGTTTGCAGTTAGATGTTAAGATGCATACTCAGTAAGGTCAATCATGACACAGACCTAAACATGGGTACACTGAGAGAAGGTTTTGTTAGTGTGCTTGAGCCCACTTACAAGAATTCATGTGACAAGGGATGATTGCTCCCATACAGACATTGTATGGATGAATACCTGAAGTCATAAGATGGGGCTTCATTTCACCTGGCTTTAGATGACTAGGTGAGATGTAAGTCTCATGAGTCTCATTACAGACTCATGTGACATAATTTTTTGTCTATTTTGAGATGAGACAAATTGTGCCTTAAAGTATCTCTTTCTTCTGACTGTTAAGGATCAGTTAGGTAGTAATGCTTTCTAGCATTCTAGATAAGGTAAGTCAAGGGCAGTACCTTGCCCTTGAGAAAGACAGTAGTGATATTTCTAAGTCTTTTGGTAGTGATACTGCTTGCTAAGGCAGTTGTATAAATTTTCACATCGCTGTGCTGTGATTCATTAAACCCAGTCCTTCTTGTCTGCTGATTAGAGACTCACTTGTAGAGAGAGGGGACAGCTGAATGAATGCATCTTAATATTCCTCCAAAAATGCATTGATTAAAAAGCCAAAGCTGTGAATGGCATCATATCCTATCTGTCTGTCTGTTTTAGGATTAATTGCTAGAGTTAGCCTGAGTCAACCAGTTTGGAAGCATTGTTACTTCTGCAGGGGACTTGCAGCACAAGATACTTGCTCAACAGCTGTACTAACTCTGGGATTAACCTCTTACTTGGCATGTAGCTTCTCTTCTGTGACATGTGATTTGTGGAATAGGAATAATACCTCTGGATCTTAGCATTTGCAAATGCTAAGTCTTGCAAAATTGTAGGGAAAGTAATCTTTTCAGCTGAGGAACTAAGATGAAAGGTCACTTCTTTGTAAGCTTGTAAAAGGAAATTAGTTCCAGGAGCATTTTGCAGACCTTAGTTTTGAAGCTTTGAGGTGAAGTGACAGTAACTTTCTGTAAGGGGAGAGAGTACAGTCTCTGGCCAGTACACCAAATTTTTTGACAAGGAAACGAGTGGCTAGCTTTGTAGCGTGCTGTTTTTTCTGTAAAAGTTTGTATTAAGCTGTTTTATGATTGCAGTACCTGGTAAAATGAAAATGCAATGTTTTTCAACAACAGACTTAAATGCATGTATAAGGGAATATAGAGAAGGATATCTAATCCGTTTTTTTCCCCGTTTTTTTCATTCAATTTAAAACAATATGTATTGTTTAACAGAACATCCCTTTTCTGGCTCTATCATTTAAAAAATGCGTATTATCTGAGTAAAATATCTAAAAATAATACCACCCCAACCTTGCAAAATCACACAAGGGCTAATTCTTATAACAAAATATAATTGTAGCACAGTTTGGTTTAGTTTGTATTTGTCATGTAATAGTCTTGCTCCAGAATAACACGAGTTAATTTCCCCCTGCTTTTAATCAAACTCCCATTTTTAAACATTTATGTTTGTAATTTATATGTCTGAGAAAGGCTAGACATTCTTAAGCTAGAAACTGCAGATGAAAAATTTCCATTAAACTTCAGTTAATACAAACTTGAGGGTGGAGGTTGAAAATAAGAGATTTAGTGAAGCACATTGCCCTTAATCTGGGCTCTGTAGTAGATGTAGATTAAATCCTGCCTCAAAGTATTTGTCTTTTGAAATCGGAAGTAGGAAAGGGAGAAGAGTAGAATGATTTCTGATGTCTTCTCATACACTTCTATTTATATAAGTCTGAATTTGGGTTGGAAAAAGAAGAAAAATACAAAATCCAAGTGCTGTTTGATAGCTAAAAGTTTGTGACTGACTCAAATTCTCAAATGTACTGCACTTTTCAGATCCTCTAAAGAAAGATCTTCCAGAGACAAAGAACGTTCAAGAGACCGCGATAGAACATCCCGTGATAAAGATAGAAGCTCAAGAGAGAGGTCACCACGAGATTTCAAAGACAAGAAATGTTCTTATGAAAGTGCTAATGGCAGATCAGAAGACCCAAGGAGCTCAGAGGAGCGTGAAGCAGGGGAGATATAACTGGCTGTATATTCACCTGATCTCTAGCTTCCTATGGAGTTGCATACTTTGGTTTAGTTTACAGTTGTTCAAAGGGACACCAGTGAGCAGTTTGAGACACTGATCCAACTAGGGTAGATGTACAGTATATAAAAGTGGTTATAACAAAGTCAGAATTAAACCCCATCAATTAATGATGCCTAAAGCTGGGTCCTGGACTTCCACTAAGTTGTAAAACTTTTCTGAAAGATTTCTCTTTATTCAGGACAACAGTTTTATGTACCAAGATGCAGATCTCAATGTTTTTAATCTCCTTTCCAATACAAGTTAGTGAACAAATTATATTGTACTACTTGCCTTGGGTGCTTTTGAACCTTTATAAATTCTCCAATTCTGCTCCAGTCAAAACAGCAGCATTGAAAGGTTGTATTTGGGGGGATTTTTTTTTTGTTTGCTTTTTTGTAACAAGGGGGGTGGATGGATATTAACTTTTACTCTAAAGTTATGTTCCCAGTGTTGGGTTTTATTTTTGTTTGGGATCCTAGGAGTTGATTACAGTGGGAGCATTTAGACAGGAATGTGTGCTGGAGAAAGCAAAATGTCTTTTTACAGTGCCTATTTAGACTTGGAAATTGAACAGCTGTTGCATTACATCTTTTTTATTTCTACTTAAATTTTGAAATCAAAGCCAGTCCCATATCTGTACCATTTGATTGGTATGTGTTCAATATATTTGTTTTTTTCCATAAGGACTCTTTCTGCTTTTTCTTGTGGGATGCATCCTTAATTGTATTAAAACAAACAAAAAAAACCAGCAACAACAAGCGAAAATTAAGAACAAAAGAAATAAAAAATAAAAAAGAAACCATATTGTCCAATAACTTAACAAGGATATACTGGTCTCTTTAAGGTGTTAATTAGCAGTTCAGTCTTTTAAAAACTAACATCTGGGTTTTAACATACAGATGTGCTCTAGGAGAAGCAATCATTCTGATCACAGTCCTGATTGAAGCCCTAAAATCTTCAAAAGCAGAAACCTGTGGAGTCAGAACTATAGAATGGTTTGGGTTGGAAGGGACCTTAAAGATCATTTAGTTCCAACCCCGCTGCTGTGGACAGGGACACCTTCCACTAGACCAGGTTGTTTAAGGCCCTGTTCAGCTTGGCCTTGAACACCTCCTTGGATGGGGGATCCAGAACTTCTCTGAGCATCCTGTTCCAACACCTCACCACCCTCACAGTAAAGAATTTCTACCTAATATCCATTTTAAAGCCATTTCCCTGTGTCCTGTCATTACATGTCCTTGTAAAAAGTCCCCCTCCAGCTCTCTTGTAGCCCCTTTAAGTACTGGAAGGTGCTGTAAGGTCTCTCTGGACCCTTCTCTTCTTCAGGCTGAACAACCTGACCTCTCTCAGCCTGTCCTTACAGGAGAGGTGCTCCATCCCTCTGATCAACTTGGTGACCCTCTGCTGGGCCCACTCGAACAGGCTCATGTCCTTCCTCTGCTGGGGATGCCTGAGCTGGATGCAGCACTGCAGGTGGGTTCTCACCCAAGTGGAGTAGAGGGGTGGAATCCCCTCCCTCGACCTGCTGCCCAGGCTGCTTGTGATGCAGCCAGGATACACTTGGCTTTCTGGCCTGCCAAATGCACATTGCCGGGTCAGGTTTAGTCACTCATCCACCAGCATCCCCAAGTCCTTTCCTGCAGGGTTGCTCTCCATTTGTTCATCCCCCAGCCTGGATTTGTGCTTGGCATTGCACTGACCCAGGTGCAGCACCTTGCACTTGGCCTTGTTGAACTTCTTGAGGTTCACATGGACCCACCTCTCAAGCCTGTCAGCGTCCCTCTGGATGGCATCCCTTCCCTCCAGCATGTTGACTGCACCACACAGCTCAGTGTCATCAGCCAACTTGCTGAGGGTGCACTCGATCCCAGTCCCTGTCACCGACAAAACATAAAGGGGGTGCTGTCCATTCTGTTGGATTGAAAGTGCTTTGGGATATTTATTCAGATGTGCTCTGCTCCCACACAGAAGAATTTAAACATAGGTAAATTTTTTTGTCCTTGAGTTCTCGCCACTGAGTTACCTAACATTGAAGCTTAAGAGCAGTATTTGTCATGATTTACTGGCATTTTCAGTGGGTTGTGCAGTGTCTCTGTAGGCCTGCTAATCATCAGTGTGTAATACCATTCCCTGTGCATTTTCTCTCAGTGTCTTTTCTGTAGCATCTTCAGTATGGTCAGAACACTTGGGTGATAATTCTAATGCGTAAGATAACTTAGCAGTATTTTGGCTGGCAGTGAAAGCTGGAACAGGACCTTTACACCTCTGCAAGGACTTGGATTCACCATTGTACATTCTACTTTGAATTGATTCCATTTTAATGATGACTACTTAACACTTTTTATTATTTACCCATTTGAATTGAGTATGAGTTTCCTTCCTGGGAATGTTTTATGACTTCCTGAGTGGCCCAAGTGCTTGATGAATGAAAGTTACCACTGTTTGTCCCTCTAGTACTGACCATACTGTCAGTGGTTGATAACATCCATTGTCACAGTTTTAAGTGAAATTCTAGTGGTGTGACAAAAGGTGAACAGTCATTTCTAGATACATCTTGCATAGCACAAGTGCCAGTGATTCCTCTGGAATTCCGGTCTGGAATAACAATGTTCCGGAAATACTGAGGGCCTGTCTCCCCCTGCAGCCAGCAACTAGAAATTTTGTGTTGTAAAAGGGGGGACTGGTGGTGAAATTTGCAGACTGTGACATAACACTGCTTAGACTCCTTACTAGCAGATTTTGCATAATACGTCATTTATTTTACAAATAACTTTTAATTACAAAACAGTGATTGGGTTTGGGCCTTCCCTTATTTAGAGGTTTTCACAGGGTGGTGAGCCTCATAGTATCCAAGTACCACAGAAGGAAGGTGAGGCTTACCTTTGATTTCCTGATAAAATAATCTGAATTATATGTGGAAGTACAGGACTGAAGTGCAGTTAGGAAGAAAACTGAATTAAAGTGACTGATGAAACACACTTAGGATGCAAGAGGTCTGGAACATCTGCCAGAAAGGGAGACAGTTTTATTAGTTGTGCCTAAGTATGGATCTTCTACCCTCTCATCAGAACCCAACTACCTTAATTTCCAGGAATGCAAAACGGAGATATTCATCACTTCTAAATTTCCTGCTGGACAACTGAAGAGTGGTATTGACTGACGTTAGTCTTCATGGTCAAAAAGATTATGAAGTGGAGCTTCTGAAGGAACCTAGGGGTGTTTCAGCTAAGCATCAGCTCTTGAGATCTTTGAAATTTTGCTGATGCAGTTGTAGCTCCATAGCCACTTTTACCAGGCTGCAAGAGTGCAAACTGAGCAAAAAGAGTAATTATTTCACTGTATTTAAAGTGTTGAAAATGCAGTGAACCTGCAAGCATTATTACCAGAATCACTCTGGGTTAGTCAGGGGAGCATAAAACAGAAGAAGGTTGAAGATGGTAAGCAGCTAGAGGATGGCACATTACCAGAAATGAGATCCCCTCCTGAATATAGTATAGAATTGGTTACCTTGAAGAAGGCCCTCAAGATCATCAAGTCTAACTGCAAACCCAGCATTGCCCAGTCCACCACTAAACGGTGTCCTTAAGTGCCACATCTACACACCTCTTAAATACCTCCAGGGATGGCGACTCAGCAGCTTCCATCCACAGTCTGATCCAGTGCTGGATGACATATGTGAGTTGCTTTTCCCAGTGGAACAGGAAAAACCACACAGTAGAACAGTGACATTTCCAAGCAAAGGGGTGCTTGGCCTAGTGCCACCATATTCCGTTACCCGCCCTCAGACTTGCCAATGAAGCTGGCAGAGGAGTCTGTTCATCTCTGTCCTCTTGCCTTCCATCAGGTATTGAAGCTGGGAGTCACCATCCTGTTGCTACAATGCAAACCCTGCCCTGGAGCTCATTTGTCTGTCCAGCCTAGTTGCACCATCCATCCTGCCCCAGGGGCAGTGGGAGAAAATAGGTGAACCAACTCCCTAAACTGATGGAAGTGGATGATTGTGCAAATGTTAAATAGCCTCCGAGCAGGGATTGTCTATTTAGCTGAAGAGAGAATGGTATCAATTCATCTTGAGACCCCTGGGGCCAGTGCAGGATTGCTAAGGACATGGGTGAGTACATCTGAATGGGTGGGTTTAGCTGTAGGAACACAGTATCTCAACAAGACACTCCTGTGGTGCAGAAAACGATTCAGTGAGACGTGTGCTGTCCCCGCCAGGACTGTTACAGATTCAAGCAGTTTGGGATTGCAGTCATCATTAAATTAGGTATAAATGCACCAGAGGTGATGTCAATGTGCAGTGTGAGGGCCTGCAGCACTCGGTTACCCCCCCACTTTACTGTTCTCCATCCTGTATTTCACATGCCACCTTCATCACTATAGTTGTCCTTTGTTCAACAGACAGTAAAGGTTAGTTTCTCCTGATGCAGTGGCTTATAAAAAATGTTTAATGCACTCTTCATTCAGTCCTGCACGATGGTTTTTTTGTTGTTTGTTTTGGAGAGGCGGAGGGTTGGGGAGGTTTTTTGACTTTTTGCTTTGATCATTTTCTTCCACTTGATTCTTAATAAATTCTTGCACTGTTACTATTGATGTAATTCTTTAATTCTTCTTTTCAGTAAGACCTGAAATCCAGCTTTCACTGCAGCCTGCAAAACTGGGAAGCAGCAGACTGCTGGGCAGTTGTATCAGCAGCTGGAAATACAAGGAAAGAAGAAGAAATGTTTGTTTCTAGCCCTGGCTCTCCTCTTTATCCCTGCTTTCCCATCTGTGGGCATATAATGGAGTCAGAAGGCAATTAGAAAATTCTCTCATGACTTCTCTCTCCTGGCTCTGGCTTTTCACCTCTTGTTGCTGGGGAAACCGCAGTCCCAGATCCCCTTCCCAGGCTCAGTGGTGCTGCCAGGGCACTGCAGGCAAGCAGAGTCCTAGAGGTGCACCATCGGGGAGGCAGGATTAGCTACCAACAGAGCAGAGCTGGACACAGGCAAGGTCAGAAAGGGCACGATAGACAGCAGAAGCTGCTGTGGCTGTACAGCCCTTTCCCAGGCTGAAATGATCTGACAAATGCTGACTGTAGTAAAGTATTGATGGTGATGCTCAGTTAAGAGCACAAGGGTTAGAAATCGTTCCAGGTGCTGGCTCAGAGAGGCTGCCAAGGAGGCAAGTTCACAGCACTGGGTGTCAGGCACCATCAGGCCGGCTCAGGGCTCTCTGTCTCCATCACTGGAAGGTGGTAAGTGGGTGGGGACTTTGCATGGAACTACTGTAACTTTTCAAGTTGCTGCCCTCTTCCTAAACTTATACTGGTTTGCAGCAGAACAATGGGAGTAAAGAACTGCCACCAGGCTGGGGCAGCCACTGCCCTGATGAAAGGTGAGACCATATTGCAGATGTCAGCTCCAATGTTCTTCCTTGTCCTAAAATTTTATTTCTGCTTGTAAGCCCATGCAAATCTCTGCTGATGGTCTGTGCTAATGGGACACTTAAGCATGATGTTGGGATCTCCACCTACTCTGCTTGGTGGCTGTGGTCAGTGGCTGCCAGGTGTCCTTGCTGGACAGCCTGTGGAGGCTGTATGGAGATCAGCAGCACCACCATAACCAGCAGCAGGTCCCTAATTTGTCCACTTTTGTGGTTGTGCAGAGGGGAGGTGAAGCATCGTGTTGCTGCCAGCAAGAGACACACCACAGTGCATCCTCCTGAGCAAGCACATCTGAGAACTTCAGAGGCAGAATCCTGGGCTCTCCAAGGCAAGCAGACGAAATATTCTGACAGTACAGCAGGACTGACATTTCTTTTGCCCACTGAGTAAGCAAATGATTCAGTCTGGGATGCTGTTGGCTCACACCAGGAAAAAGTCAGTCCTCTGTGTCTTAGGCTTGTTTAATGCTGCCCATGTGCAATCTGACCAGTATAATTGTGCCTTGAATTGGCTCAAACCCACCTCACTGCATAAGACGGAAGTGCTCTGGTATGACCCAAAAGGTTAACTGAGACTCAGTGCTATTCTAATTGCACATGTCCATTATCTCAATATTAGCTTTAGCAAAGGTAAAGAAAAAAGGAATCTGCTTTCTCATCCCCTTTTCCCTAAACCCAGATGTTGTCACAAAAGAAAAAAAATATATATTTTGCAATATTGAAAACTGAGAAGGTTAAAATAAGTTGGGGGGCTTTTTTGGTTTGGTTTGCAGCATGTCATACCTCTGCTTTTATGAGACATCTGAGTGCCACACTGGATGTACAGACATTTGAATTCAGTGGCTGTTCTGTTCTTCCAGGGACCATTGGCTCCTAGTGCTGATTCAGACATCACAATTCACTTCTCATATCTCAGTATGATCTTTTGTAGGCAGCAATCCTTCCTTGTCACACGTTGTGCCATCTCAAGCCTTGTGGTGCCTTTTATTTAGCCAGGAAAGTGAACTGAAGGTCTAACAGGGCTCCCTTGCCCCTCTCCAGTTCTAACAGAAGCGATGACCCTGGTACCAAGCATGGGGTAGAAACATTGCTGCTCCCAGCATGTTCCTGTCTGGGCTATACCCTCACTGCCTTCTACCCATCATTGGGTGTTTGTAATGCTGGGGCCTGAAGAACAGGCCCTGAGCCAAGGTTGACCTATAGACTGATTTTCCAACCTAATATTATATTCAGCCTAGTATTGTATTTAGCCATATATCTTCTTATTAACCAAGATGCTGCATAATCCTTAGTAATGCTTTAAAAGTACATATTTATGCTTGTTAGCACAGCATATTATTAATAATTAGTAAGGCTTGTATGTGTTATAAATGTGCCTTTCTTTTCAGCCAAGGCTGGGAGAGCAGTAGCCTCACATGGTCGCAGCTGGTTCATATTTGAGATATAAATGTAGCCGTAGCTCTGTATTTAGAGACTAGTCGAGGCCATGGGGGTATCTGACAGTAGTTAGTCTGAACTGACTCCCTGATTTTGCACTGAGCCCTGGCCAGGCTGCAGGGGAAAACCAAGAAGAGAAGAAAGCCAGATTGTTTTCCACACCGTTTGAGTGATGTAAGCTGGTTTGTTTAATACTATATAAGCTGGACCCTCTAGACCCTCTCACAGCAAAGATGGAGGCTTCACCCATCTAGTGGACGGACTGCATAGGATTTCCCAATTACCGGGAAGAGGTTCTCCAGTCCTTCACCGTGATCGGGGCCTCCCCAGCTGCAGTGTGGTCTGGGTGATGGTAAAGTGTTATAGGGTAACTGGTGATGTATTTCTCTCTCCTAATCACTGTAGACACTTTTGTAGTAAAGGTTAGATGCATTGCTAAGTGTATCCTTTCATAAGCCACTGTTTCTTTTGTAATTCTTTACTGTTTTGCACTATAGTAAACTTAAACACTTATTCTTTAAAGTTGGTGCCTGTGTTCCTTAATCCTCATTCCTGGGGAAAAACAGATTGCAAAACAGTGTTTTAAATGGTATCTTGAAGAAGCCCCTACTTTCAGTGTAAAGCAACACCTCTGAGGGACATATCTGTACCTACAGCCACAGCTCTATGGCAAAAGAGCTCAAACAGCCCTTCACTTCAATCACCAACAATACCAATGGCCTTCATGCAAGAAGGGTGGACACATTGGAGGGTTTCCCTCTGGATCCAGCTAGGAGGATTTCCTAGAAGCTTCTCCAGATTCTCCAGGGTCTCCAGTCCCCCATCTGGGCAGCCACAGGGTTATCTGAGATGACCTCCCCACCTTGCTCACCTCACTGAGCCTCTCTGCTGCCTGTCATAAAGGCAGGGACAGGAAGGCAGCTTGGCTCAGACTCTAGCAAGAAAATTATTGGACTCAAATGCCTTGACAGCTAGGTTAGCTTCTTCTTTGCTGTCTTCCCTGTCACAAATTGCCATAGTATGTTCGTAGCCCTTGTCTCAGAGTGATTTGGTGATGCTGCCACTCTTGGATTTTATTCCAGCACTGATTTGTATTTGCACAGGATTATGCCTTGCAATACACCTTCCTCTGGGTAAGTTTTTGCTCTGTCACCAGGGTGACTGTAGTTTTTCAAGTTAAATTCAAGTACATATGTATTTTAACAGTGTTTAAATAATATTTTGAATCAGGAAAGTGAGTCTCTACAAGGTCAAGGTTTTTTTGTGGGAATGCTTTTTTTTTCTCCAGCAACATGACCAGCAAAGCACTTTGATTTAATTAGCTGAGTGGATAAACTTCCTGCATGAGCTTCTGCTCACTCCTCTTCCCCTTTCTCAGTATTTTCCATGTGTTTTCACTGTTCTAGTTTAGGTCAGACACAAAGATAACTCCAGGCATTTAGCTGATTTAACATGTCACAGCCACTTGTCACACTACCCATGCTACATCACAGACTGGTTATCTCACAGACCTTTCTGATGTCCCACAGGTTGTAAGAAACCCGTGAAGCTTGGTGTGAGGGCTTTGGTCCCACTCAGCAGTGGTGCTCCACAGGAAATCTTTTCCTACTACCCTTAGGTATGACATTTCCCTTCTGTTTCTCTTCACAGAATCAGTTTTCCGGAAGAATGCATACAGTATGCACAGCACTGCATAGTTACCAGTTCAATAAGTAAGGAGTATGTTTGTTTTGCCTCCCAAGTACATGAATGTTGCTGTTTTGCAGAGGCACAGTGAGGTGCAAGGAAAGCTGGACAGGACTGAAGAGTGAGACTACTGGAAAACCAGAAACTCAGCTCAGTTATTCTCCATCTCAAGATGTTGTCTAATCTATGCTCTTTTGGAAAAGCTTTCTGCCATCCTTTGAAATCTCAGATAAAAAAAAGGGGGGCCATGTACTCCTAAACCACACACATCACACAAACTTTTAAAATGTAACGTATACCCCTTTTCTAAATGGATTTACAAAATAACCCGCTTTTTACTGCAGCCAGAATTAGGTTTGTTTCACATGCTTTGCTTTTGCAACACCTTTCTGCATCACAGGAGCAGGGAACACAAGAGCCTTAAATCATCGGCCAGTGTTGCAGGCCCCTGTCAGCCCAGGGTGCCTGTGACAATGAAGAGCAGGTCATTACAGCCAACCACCCTTATGGTAAATGGTGCTCTTAACATGCATTAAGGCAAGTCAATAAAAAGGGGAAATTATTTTGAGCTTTTCAGAGCTTTAACTACTTGTACTTCCTCACAGGGATTTGAGTCTATAAATATTTTTTACACGTCTTGTTCTTTTTTTACAATCTCTGACAATGCTGTGCAATATGCTTTCCCTTCTCCCTGAGCCAAATAGAATAGCGAAGCAAATAAAGCAGCCTGCCCCATCCTCCCTCTCTGGCAAGAGTTCATCTTCTGGACTTTGGGATTTAGCATCCTTTGCCAAACAAATGGAGTGGGTGAGGAAAACTACACGTTGAGTGAAGGAGAACTTTGCATTTTTAGCTGTTTACAAAACTGTTGCTTCATGGTCAAGTGAAAGGCTTCCCTTCACATCACCTGAGAAGCCTGACTGCTGTGAGCGTGATGGGTGCCCAGGTGGGAATCTGAGCTGGTTTTGGTAAAACCTGCAGTACTACCAGTAACTGTGCACTGTAACCAGCTACCACTTGCACATCGCCTTCTCTGTGCTACAAACAAGAGGACGCATCTGCTTTCTCTGTGTTTATTGTGTTACACTGAAGCAAACCAGCATGTGATTATTTGCAGCATGTGGTTATTTGCTGATTGTTTCACCACGTCTAAGGAATATGAAGAAAAGCAATTAAATAGTTCAGGACTCAGTTACGACTGAAGGGAGGCCAAGGCTGTGCAACTGGACAGGATGAGTCCCATGCTGGGCTGAGCCCACCATGCCACCCATTCAGCGAGGCAGCAGCTTCCCTCAGCTGGGTGCACTCTTGAGTAGCACAAGAGCCAGTGAGCTCGGTGCTATTGCCTTTGCCAGGGAACACAGCAGAGTAATTTGCTGGGAGTTACACTGTGAAATGCACGCCCTGGAGATGTTCATGCCTGCCCAGAGAGACCCAGTGGTGATCACACTCATTGCTGTAACCCTTGTGCTGAAAACTGCCCTGAGAAACCAAGACTAGAAAACTCTGCTGGCTCATGCAAGAAGGGACTTTCCCCATGTCTTTCCCAGTTGTTAGTCTTTCCCATACACCACTTCCCCTTTGTTTAACGTCAAACACAAAACAACACTCATGCCTCTTAAACAATGACCTCTACCAAGTTCCTAGAGATGCTTCAAAATGGCCTCCTTGTCATTCATGAGGATGGAGAGGTGGTAGATGAGTTAAAGAGCTGCTGGTGCTGCTGGAAGGAGCAAGTCTTTCTTTTAGGAATAGCAAGCTTAAAGTCAGCAAGCTTAAAGTCATCATCTTAACATGTAATCTTAAAGGACAGTGGCCAGAGGAACCCACCTGGAGCATTGAAACTGTGAAGCACATCAGGATTTGTTGGTTGACTTTGATGTATCTGTGGGTTTTGTTTAGCTGTAGAAACTCATTTTGCTAAGGAAATTATTGACATTGATATCTATATTGTATAAGCCTTTTTTCTTGCCTTTTTTTTTTAATTTTATTTTTATGTTTTCATTCTTCCAGCTGGGGCTGGGGGCCCAAAAGCAGCAAATCAGTGCCATCAAGATGTTTGAAGAGCATGGAGGGTGCACATCCTCACCAACCCTCCTCTTTGTAGACATTATTCAGGTGAGTGCAGATTTCATTGGTTACCTTCTCAAAGGAAGCTTTGCAGTCTCCACCAAATTTCTCCTCCATCAGTTGTAAGATAATGTCACAGATAATCTAAACAAGGACAAGGGAAGAAACAACCAGTGTGAACTTTCCTCCACATTAGATGCATAAGAGTAAAGCATGTATCTTTAGTTGAGATTCTTGGAAGGCAGAAAGGGGTACAGGAGCTATTTGCAGCATATTGCATGCAGAGCTTGTAACAGGGCATGGAAAATATGGTGCATTATAGAATTCACAAAAAAATGCGGTCACTGCTGCTGGTTTTTTTAACTGTCCTATGTATCTAGTTATTGTTGACTGCACATATCACTTAAAGATGGCTTTACAGGACTGATTCACTTGGTCCATCCATTGCAATCTTTCTCCTATCAGTGGACGGTCCCAAATGTTTAGAGGCCATGAGGAGCCCCATGTTGGACACTTATGGAATACATGGCTTGAGGGGCTAAGTTTCTTCCTGATCTTTCCTGCTCATTAACTATCTAGCCCTCTTTAGCAATGAAGGTTCATTTGTCCTTACAGTCACTAGGTAGGCGGTACACTTTGAAATGCCTGTTTTTCCTCAGTTCTACTCCTCAAAGGGGAAAACATCCTCCCCTCACAATTACACCCCTTGGGAAGAAGGCTACTGGCTCACCCTAAAGTTTTTGGGGTCAATCTTCAGCTGAGTGGCATGTTTCTTGCCGAGTGGGTTCACTATCCCAAGAAAAGCCTCAGAATTGTCCAGGTGTTGCACCATGTCGTTGATGGCAGTGAAAACCTTCTTGCCATGGCCCCTGACTTGGTCTGACTGTTTCATCTCTTCAGCAGAGTCCATGCCTTTGAAATGTGTGAAGTAGGACTTGGTGTCTGGGTGCTCAGTAAACATCCTGTTGAGAAATGAGAGACATCCTAACTCGTGAACCCAGGCATCAATGCAGATATGGCTAAACATTCCAGGCCTCATCTTATGCATTTATTGCCCTTTTTCCTTCTCTTTATGAGAAGAGACACCTCTGTCCCCTGCATTTCTTGTTTCTGCTTTGCCTTTTGCCTCTGTCCACAGTGCCCCATGCCCATGGCAGCCTGTCCCCTCCCTCACCTTTTCTTCAGTGTTAACTCTGTGTTAGGTTACTTCCACAGGGAAGTGGGAGCATGTTCACATGAGGTAAGTGTGACAGCATAATATTCTCAAAGATGTTCTGGACAGCAGATATGACCACTGTGATTCTGATGGGTGTTTTCATGGAGAAAATATATTATTGGTTTTGTTAATTAACCCCTTCCTAGAGTCCATCCCAAAGCTTTCTTCCTACCTGTGATGGATTGCTGTCTGACTATGGGTTTGACTATAGTTTGAGTACTGCTCATTTCATTTATTCAAAAGTAACACAATTCAATATGTTTAGAATTGCCTTTAATCAATTACAGTCATCTTCATCAAGCTCTTAAAAAAGCAGTTTACTCTGTTAGGTAAACCATTTATCCCCCTGAAGTATCAATAGCAAATTCCAGATTGCATTTCATGGAATGGTTGGGCTTGAAGGAACATCTGGAGGTCATCTGGTTCAACCCCACTGGTCAAGCCGGTTGCCCAGGACCATGTCCAGATAGCTTTTGAGTATATCCATGGATGGAGACTCTACAACCTCTCTGGGGAACCTGCACCAGTGCTCAGCAGTCCTCACAGTAAAAAAGTGTTTCCTGATATTCAGAGAGAACCTCCTGTGTTACAGTTTGTGCCCATTGACTCTGGTCCTGTTTCTTGGCACCACTGAGAAGAGACAGATTCTGCCTTTGTTGTACTCTTCCTTCAGATTTTTATATACTCATTGATAATCTCCTCCTGAGCCTTCTCTTCTCCAGGCTGAACAGTCACAACTCTCTCAGCCTTTCCTCATAGGAGAGATACTCCAATGCCCTAATTATCTTCCTGGCCCTTCACTTGACTCTTTCTGGTCTCCCCATGTCTCTCTTGTACTGGGAGCCTTGAATATCTCTATAGACAGGTCTGAGGCTATAGGACTCTAAAGCAAAATCTTCTAGAGTAAATAACCCCAGGGAGCCAAGCTACTGGATGCTATTAGCCTTTTATGGCTGCATTCCTGACCCTAACTGGCCTTCAGGTTGTGTAGTCTGCAGAAGGAAAGAGCAGTGTGTAACACTTTTTGAGAGTAATGCAGGCATAAGATGTGATATGCAAGAAAGCCAGAGGGAGGGGTAGAGGTCTGATAACCTGAAATAGTATGTAGACTGATCAATGCTTATGGAGGTGATACAAGTCCCAGATGAGTGAGGGGTATGTGAAAGGTGAACAGAAGAGAAGAGAGGAAAACAGGATGAAAACAGAGGGGGAAGCCCATAGGAAAGTGTGGGGTGATGGATAGATTTAAACCTAGAGGGTATTCGGAATTTTAGGGTAAAAAGCAGCTGCAGCTCCCTGGATGGACTGAGGTCGACTCAGTACAACTCCTCAGTACACTGCTCAGAGAAACAAAACGGAGTGTGGAACGAAGTGGAGCCTACATGGTCCCCCTCCATTCTAATCCCAGCAGTATGGAAGAACACTGTGGTACTGAGACCGTACAGTCCCTGTCTGATAAGGGAGAATCAGGATGTTCTGCTGCTGAAGCCAAGAACCATGTTGAACCCCCTCCTCAGGTGCCAAACCATGACCACTGCCCTCCTCCCATTAAATGCACCAATCAGAAATAAAAAGTATTTATGACTAGAGCCACTCAAACTCCACCCAAACATAAAGAAAATAGTACAAAAGTAAGTTGAGGATAGGGAGAAAGTGGGAGAAAACCTGCACCGAAACTGCTGGGATCAGTCGACAGGCTGAGTCCATATTCTCCCACCCCAGAGGGATGCCTTGGGTGAGAAATATACTCCATGTGCATTAAATGCTGCTCTTAGGACTAGAGCTTTTGCTTATACTAATATGCTTATCTAATAGCATATTAGATTGCTTCGTATGAAAACTTGTGCTTGCTTAATATATGTATCAGTAGATTGCTTTAAAACATTTTTGCAGTAGACACTATCACCGACAATCTTCGAACCTTATTAATCTGTCACAAATTGTATTAATAAAAAGTGTTATTTGTAAACTGTTAAAGTGAGTCCTTGCAGTCGCCAGCAGCGGATAACACTTTGGCAGGACCTGCTGAGGGGTCTTGGCTCTGGTGAGTTCCCCCTAACAAGGGAGGTCGAGGTACCCTCCAATCTTGTGAATCTGTTGGTGAAGGGTCTCATTACAAGATGCTGACTGACTGTTGGGCGCCAGGGTCTCGACTCTCCTGGGGATACCAACAGAAAAAAATCTAAACTCCCATTTTTAATGTGACAGAAGGGGGCAATAAAATGGAACAGATGGACTGGAAAGGCCAAAGGAGAATCAGAAGTGAAATACTGAGAAGTTAACAAAAATCATTAAAGGAGTTTAGAGGTAAAGAGAAGAGGGAAATAAGGCCCATGTTTTGTTCCCATTCTCTTTCATACCACACTTTCTTTTCTTTACCTTAAATGGGTAAAGAAATTGTTCTTATCTCTTCTTCTTTTCCCACCCCTTCCTCATTTCCTTTTATTTTTCCTTGTGTGGATTGCTCCTCTTCCCTTTTTCCTCCCTGAGATGGGATAAATCACAGCAGATCAAAATATTACCAACACGGGCTGCATGAACAACATCAAGACGTGCTCCTAGGCCTTAACTCCATCCTTCTTGCTGTTCCTCCTTCAACCCTCTGGCATAGCAATTGGATGGGCTCTTTCCTTACCTGACCAGCACAGCTGTCCCGTTGTCCTCAGCATCCACATACATCTTCTCCCAGGCACCTCGGGCACTTTGCACTTCTGCTTCAGAGAACGACATGGTGGAGGAGATGCTGGCAACGAAGGATGCAGCAGGAGGAAGAAGGACAGGGAGGTCCTGGCAGGGTCTTTCTGCTCCAGTTCTCTCCTCAGGGCTCTCTAAATACTGTCCTGGGGATTTAAGATATCTTGAAGGGACTCTTTGTCTCCGTTCCCCTCGGTCACATTTCTACAGGCTTTAGGGCTACCTAATCACTTTTAATCAGGAAAGAAACTAACCACATGAGGAGGGGGGACAAGCCCTCTCACTGTGGGTCAGGTGCCACAGCAAAGGTCTCACTGTCTGAGAAGAAAAAGGGAAAAAAGGGCAGTTCTCAGAGGCGAAGAAAAAAATCAATTCTCCTCCCCTCTCACCCTTGCCAAAGCCAGTGCTTGGCTCCTGTTTCCTGAGGGATATCCTTGCCCAAGCACTAATTTTCCTGGTTTTCTCCCAAGAGTGCTGCTATGCTGTGGGCACTGTGGTGCCCTAATGTCCCCTCTTCCCAGCACCCTTTAGTCCTTCAGTCCAAAGATCCTGTTTCCAGCTCCAGCAGCTATCTCCAGTCCTGCTTTCCTGCAGTCGTCACTGCTTTCCCCATAGCCCTCTGGTGTAGCAGGGGCTCACTCCGCAGCTGCTCTTGGCTTTGGTCTCATGTGGGTGGGAGGCTTTGCCAGCTCAAAATGACAGCATTGCAAGGACAGTGATGGCAGCATGGCACAGCATCCACGCCCACAGTGCCCTAGAAAGCCGCCTCATTGTAACACAGGAGATAAATGGTTCAGCACAGCCAAGCCAGGAACACAGGCATTTCACTGCCCTAATCCTCTTGGCTTGCAGCTGGGATCTCTGTCCCATCTCTAAGGCCTGCCTGCCTCGGAGAGAGATAAGAAGCAGGAGAAGGGCCAGTGTGGAGCTGAAAATAGTATCTATGAGCCTGTTATCATCATGGTCACTTGGATCTGGAGGCAAAAAAATTTCTTGGATTATCCATGCCTGGGCTTAACCTATGGCAGGAATGTTCTGGTTAAGTCCAGCACACGCACACAAAATAAGGGCTAAGGGGCTTGAGAAACTGCTTCTGGGTGCCGAGAGCAGACAAAACCTCATATTGTTTGGGTTGGGTTAGAGGAGGGAAGAAACAGATGTGAGGGGGAAATATGCAGCATGGCAAGCAAAACCAGCCTGATACCCCAGGGCAGAAGGAGACTGCTGGCTCCAAACTCACAGGGATTAATTGGACTTGCTAGGGTTGTATCCCACCATTGCTGAGGGATGCCTCAAATGACTTCACCGAAGCTTGCCCCTGCACCTTCCCTCACAGCAAACAAAGTGTAGTCTAAAAAAAGCTGCACAACCATCTCCTTTCTCATCCCCAAATCCTCAGAAAAATTCCCAAGATCTCAGGAGATCCCAGGGTGGGGGGGATATGTTTATGGTGCTGCTTGGATCTCTACCTCTTTGAAGGCAGACATAGCCAGTGTAGCACTGGTTGCCCAAGCCCAGTCACCAGCACACAAACGCAGGGGAAGGAGCAAGGACAGTACCACAGCAGTTGGCAGTTCTCAGGTCTTGGGAGCCAAAACTGCTTGGCAGAAGCTCAGTGGGGAAAGCACCAAGTTTTTGGCTGAGAGCAGGAAGTTCATCAGGTGCTTTTCATAGGTGGCCTGGGAGAGAGTGAACTCCTGAAGAAAGAGCAGCACCAACTGTAGCCAAAGGTAAAAGGGCTCAAGCAGACCTGAAACATGGAGGTAGAGCTGTTTTCCCTTTGGAATGTTATGTAAAATTACTTGCTTGCAAATTTTCTTCTTCTCTGTAGTTGTCATGTTCTCCTTGCAGGCCTGGTGCACCCTGATTTGCTATGAACATCTCAGTAGGAGAAGTTGGAGCATGGCTGTGAGCCCAGCCCTCTGGCCTGAGCTGTGGTAGCAATGCACATTGTTTAAGGATGTCTTCCCTCTTAGCTTTCTTAGTCTTTCCCTTTTCACCTCCCTTGTTCACCCTTCATTTCCCTCCTTTCTGTTTTTGTTTGTGGAAGTTCACAAGCCGAGGTGATCTTATAGAATCTTCCAGTACCTAAAGAGGCTACAAGAGAGCTGGAGGTGGACTGTTTCACTGGAGATGGTATATAGTGATAAGACAAAGGGTAATGGCTTTAAACTAAAAAGGTGGGTTTAGATTAGATATTAGGAAGAAATTCTTTACTACAAGGGTGGTGAGGCACAGGAACAGGTTACCCAGAGCAGTTGTGGATGCTCCATCCCTGGAAGAGTTCAAGGCCAGGTTAGATGGAACTTTGAGCAACCTGGTCTAGTGGGAAGTATATCTACCCATGGTGGAGGAGTTGGAACAAGATGATCTTTAAGGTCCCTTCCAATCCAAAACATTCTCTGATTCCCTAGGGGATTTGGAAAATTATCTTCTATTTTCCCCTTGCATGATTTGCTGAGTCCTTGTAAGATGAACACAATAATACCTCATAAAGTTTTGACATTTCTAACAGGGCTATACACATTTATGCTACACCTCAGCAGTCTCTAGAGATTGAAACAAAAAAGCTCCAGAAACCTTTTTTTTTTTGGCCTGGAAATGGCCTAGCTCTGAAAAATGGGCTGTTTAATCATAAAGTCATCACATTATTGCTGACACATCCCCACCCTGGGGCAAGAGGATGCATGCTTGGTTTATTTCTTTTTCCTCTCCCAAGGTTTGTTTTGTTTATTACTGCAAGGGAGATGAATGCTCTTAAGTGTATTTTTGTTGCATGAGGAGACATATTTTCTAACAGGGGTGATGCTCCTCAGCACGTTATCCCTAAGGCAGGGCCCTTTCACCCAGTGTGCAAGAGCCAATTAGCACACTGAATTGAGATATATGATTTCATTACAAATCTGCAGAACAGGGTGCCAGGCATCTAGCACAGCTGGTACACTTTTTGGGAAACAAGCAGAGTCCTTTTTACAAAAAGGTAACAAATAAGAATCATGCAGAAACAGGAGATTGGTTGCTCATGCTTGTATAACAAAATTTTTAATGTACATGTGCTGATCTTGGTCCAGTTCATTATACTATGATTTCCACATACAAATTCCCCTGAGAGTGTGTTTTTTAACATTATAATGATCTAAGGTAACTTGAGGTTGTATTTTCATCCTATCAGCTGTTGCTAAGCTATTGTTTAACCTCTGTTGCAGTTTCTGCTTGAATCCATTTGAACAGTTAGTTGCCAATGACATAAGGATTTACAGCATTCTGTTCTTGGGGACTCTTCACAGCTCCAGTGCTCCGGCACCCTGCTGCCACAGATTCAAGACTAATTTATAGTTACTGTGAACTTTTTGTGAATTTTTAAATTCAGCTGACATAAAGCAGTCAGGGTAAGGCCAGGGAGGCAGACAGCACTGGGAAATCCAGAGCAGGGAGTACACCCACTGTGTTTGGGCCTTGGCCAAACTTTTCCTAGCTCTGTCCCCAGCCAGGGAAGCAGAGGATGGGTGTGTCACTAGTGCAAAGTAGTGTTTGCTTCCTCTCTGTTTCCAACAAATCACGTGCTTTAGGCAGAAGGCAACTGCCACAGAAACCGATGGCACCTTCTACCCACCCAGCCATTTAGGATCCAGCAGCGATGACACCTGAAGAGCTCTGTCAGTGTCCCAGTTACAGGCACTGCAAACCTCCCTATCTTTTCTTATCCTTGAAAGTTTGTTATTTTTAATGTAAAACCACCCTATTTTTTATGTAACTGGGGTTAATTCCCATATTGCCCATGTCACCATATTGCCAGGTTTCAGAGATGCTTAGCTCCAGATGCTGACACTCAGTGCTGCTTTTAGAGAAATGACAAACACTTCTGCTCCATGCTCAGTATCTGAGGCTATCAACATAATCAGCTCATCAAAAAAAGCAAAATTAGGAGCTGCAGTCATGACTGTTGGTGTCAGTGTCTGTATCCCAAAGGCCACATGTGGGAAAGACCTGGGGCAGGTGCACGCAGCTTTCCCAGCTGCCACCTTCCCAGATCGCACTTCTCTTTCTCATTCCAGAGCATTAGTGGGCTCAGGTGGAGTTGTGTTGCACTTTGGACTGGTGAAAGTACCAAATGCAATGTGCAGGAAAAAAGGAGGAGTGCTCAGCTTCTTGGGGCCTGGCCACCCAGAATGGCCCTTACAAAGCATGCAGAGCAGTACCACCTGACATGGTAGAAATGCACACAGGTTTCTGTTGTGAATACTTTTATTGTGTGCTTAAAATTTTAAATGTGAAAACAAAGGTAAAGATTTCAAAATAGCCCCACTTTTATACATCATAGGGCATAGCATATATGCAAATTAGTCCTCTTAATGCTGCTCTCACAACTGATGACATTAAGTACATGGCTAGCAGTGACTCTAACATGACCATTAAGCTAATAAAGATGCCAATGCTGAGTTTTCCTGCACTGTATCCAGGTAACCAAAAATTTGCATTGGGACAGGCTGATGTTCAGCAGGGAAACTTTACATCTTTAGTGAAGGGGGAAAAAAAAGCTCAAAAACCTCACCCTGCCTCTCCCCAGATCATCAGTGTGCTAACACGACCATTTTTGGTCACAAATCACACACCAGCATAAGGGGTCACTATGAAGGAAGTTAACTCCACCCCTGCCCGACCCAGCACACTGCAGGATTGCATCCTTTTCTTAGACAAATTTAGGCTCATGCAGGCCACGCTGCGCTGAACCTCTGCATAGGTGCTGTAGGTAGGAGGCAAAGAAATTAGATTTTATGGATATGGAAAATACGAAGCCCAAGTCAGAGATGCAGAGAGTACCTAGATCCAGACAGAGGGGCTCAGGCAGCAGCATAAGTACTATTCATACCTGTAAGGTTACAATCTGGTGTTCATATCTGCCCAATTAATGAGATCAAACCACCCAATAATTTAACAGAAACAATACTGCCACAGGTTTTGGACTCAAGCCCCCAGACTGCTTCACAGAGTGCTCCTGTTCAGGATACAAACACTTTAATTACAAACAATTTATATAAGTGGTGTCCTGAAGAAAACAGAAATCCATCAAATGTCACCCTCAGCAGAGTTAAATCTAGACTCCAGGTAAAGAGAACTGGCATCAGAGGAAAAGAGGATGCGGCTA